TATATTAGTTTGACAAGTCACTATTGTAACTTCACACGTTTTCTAACAATTTTTAGCATTAGAGTTTTTAGGGACAGAATCTGCTAAATAATGATGACATTGACCAACAAGTTGCTAAAGATGAAAAACATTGAATGAAAACGCTTTTGAATAAATGGACGATGAGATTGTGGTCATGGATTAGTTATGCCTGTCAATGGATTAAACCAATTTGATTTTGACCGTCAATTATTGGAATGTTTCGTCAATTGTTCTATATTTGCCTAAAACCACAAACTTTATGGAGAAGATTTTTTTTTTTTTGGGTTAAAACATTAAGGATCATTTTCGCGTAAGCTAAACATTTGGGATTAAAACTGCATTTCTTCCTCATTTCACTATCTCTTCTTTGATTTTCTCAAAAGAATAAACCTTTTGAATTGATTTTTTAAACAGTCGAAACAGCCTTCTTGAACTTATTTTTTTGTTCTTTACATGCGAAGAAAGAACTTCATTTAAAAATGGAAATAAGATAAATGTTTGAATACTTCTATTCGTGTCAAGCTTAAATTCTTTTCATCAATTTTCTGAACTACCAACCTCAATTAAAAAGAAAAGACTTCTTCAATAAACCCTAATAAAACTTGCGTACCTAGCCTCAAACGTAATCAAACCCTAATTGCCTATTAATCAGTTTGTCTATTCATTAACTACTGCAATTGCCCTAAGGCTTCACAGTTGCTATAAAATAGTTCCTTTGCCTTTTTCTTCACTACCAAAACCATTCTTTCCCTACCATTGTACATTTTCTAGCAATGGCAAAAGCTTAAAATTGCAAGGGCCTACTTGATCACATGAAACTGGAGGAAATCAATGATATTTCAAAACCACAAGTTTGGAAGAATTCCTGAATTTTATCAATTGCTTCTATCTTCTATAGGTAATAGTTCTAAATATTGATCTTTTTCATTATTTTTTTTTTATTAGAAGCATATATGTTACAAGTTTGAACATAACAATTCAATATTTTAATTAGAGATCTTTTTTTTGGATAGTTTAAGTTATAAAAAATAATATATTTGTAGAAAAGAGGTCAATTTGTAGTAGTATGCCAATATATTGGCTTTTTTTGGATTGCCATTCTCTGGACAAAAATCTCATACTTTTTGGGAATATTTTCTTGACACATTTTTCAATAATCTTTTTACATCATATACATCACATCTAAAAAAAAGTGTTACAATACTTTGTTTCTAAAAAAGCCCGTTTAAAAAATGCAATCCAAACAATATAATTCCATGATCAATCATAGTTTCATTGCAATTAGGAACTTTTTTCTACAGTTAGAATAAAAAAGCTAAAAAAGAAAATTAGAACCTCGACAACAAAATCGATCATGTGACTTGACTTTCATGATTACTTGAAATAATTCTAGTCAAGGTGAAAATAACTTGTAGTTTTTTGGGTAAAGGTCAAAAGGCTGTTTGGGTACAAAAGAATATAGTAGCAAACTATTGGTTTAAATTTAATTTCATTTAAATCAATAGAAGGGAAGGATTGCCTCGGATTTTTGTGCTAATTCATTTCCCTCTCAATATGAGTAAGAAAGGGAATTTGGGAATCCGATGATTGGAGTAGGAGTTTGCTTGGTTCGATAGGTTAGTTTGGTAATTTTGATTAGGGCAAATTACATTTTAGCCCCCTATGGTTTAGCGTTTTTTTATATAACCCCCCTATGGTTTCAAAAGCTATACATAACCCTCTCATGATTTGGATTAAAGTGTCAAAGTGACGGAAATAGTCATTCATAACGGAACTTCTAGAAATGTCGTAATTACCCTTATAAATACATGACACACTAATCCCGTACGATTTTTATATTTTACTATATAACTCCCTTATGGTTTAATATTTTACCATATAACCCCCTTATGGTTTTCAAAATATACACATAACCCCCCTTAGTTAATAAATAATTTTCAACTTTACATAAGAGTATTTTTGACATTTTAGGTGACTCCGTTACGAATGATCATTCCCGTCACTTTGACGCTTTAATCCAAACCATGAGGGGGTTATATATAATTTTTGAAACTATAGAGAGGTTATGTAAAAAAATATTAAACCACAGGGGGTAAAGTGAAATTTGCCATTTTGATTATGACATGTGCTTTATTATATTTTAGGAATATAAGAGAATTTGCCAAAACATATATCTCTTTAACAAATTTAAATCTTTCTATTACTACTACTCAAATTTTTGCAAAGGGAGAAACACGTTTTGGTACTCAATGTTTGACTTGTATATCAAACTGGTCCGAATGTTTTAGCCAAAATAAATCTATTATCCAAATTTTCTAATTTTGACTTTACATTTTTAGTTCCTAATGTTTGAAGTTTCGATCAATATGGTCCCTTTAGTTTCAAGTAGTTATAGCTGGGGGCTTTAAAATGGAAAAAAAAATGTGAATTGAATTAAAGATATGACAAATGTCTTCCTAAAATCCCTAAAAAATTTCATAAAAACACTTTATGTCAACACAATAACATCTTTGAACTTAAAGAGTTTTTTTTTTGAATAAGTTACAATCGGATGACAATATATCCATAATATATAAAATAAAAAGAAAAGGAGAATTCTAGTTTTAATATAAAATTTATTAGCATTCAAACTAGTCTACTACACAAGTTCTTGCATGACTTGTGCACATGGTCCTTAATTTGTTATAGTTAGGAATTGTAATTATAAAAGCTAGTAAACATAGATACCAATATGAAGTGCTTTTACTCATTATGGGTTAATTATCAATTAATTACTTATAGTATAAAACTATAATTACATTTATTATACCAAATTTGAGACCAATTATGCAAAAAGGAAGAAGTATACGAGACATTAGTGACATGAATAAATGAAATAAAAAATAAAAAGTTTAATTAGAATTGCTAGTACCCATTTAAGATAATTGCGTTGTAATTCGCATCTTATTATATCCAAATACACTCAATATCACTAATGAAAACTTAAGCGACTAAAATGATTAAAATTTCAAACATTAGGGATTAAAAGAGCAAAATCAAAACTATTAAATAATGGTAATTTGATTTTAACCGTTACTCATTTATTGACTTTCCATCAAATGTCCTTAATGCAACTAGTATCAGAAATCTTCAAAACCACATTTATTTTGGCCGGAACATGAGAGACTAGTTTAGCACATATGCTAAAAAATGGAGACTAAAACTACAATTCACTCCATTTCCAAAAGAAAAAACTACACCTTCTTTTGTTTTATTTTTGTGCACACATGTGATTTTTTTTTCTTTTTTCACCTTTGATGTCACACAATGGTCCAAACCAGCTGACATCTGCTAATAGATTCAACTGTTAAAATGTCTGTGTGAATTATGAGGACGGTAATAAGTAGAAAAGTTTTGTTTGGTATGATTTTGGGTAGAATGACTAAATCATTTAGTTTAAATTACATTTTAGTAAACTAAGTGGAAGAACTAGGTTATAAACCTCATTTATACCCAAGAAAAAAAGAGGGGGGAAAATAAATATAAGTCTTGTTTGCTACTTTGCCATACAAATTACAATCCATTAATTCAATATACTGAAAGGGATAATTTCACATACCTCCCCTGAGGTTTTTGAGAATTACAAGATGCTCCCCTCAAGTTCTAAAAATTACACCAATCTCTCCTATTTTATTATTTAAGTAACATTCTAGACCCAAAATGCTAGATTTTTTTTTCAAAAATCCTGTAATGCCCTTGAGTTATAATTCACAACAAAAATAAAAAGGAAAAAAAAATGGTTCATAGTCTTTATTTCATTCATCCTTACTTGTTATCACTATTACCTACCTTCAATGTCCAAATCACCACTAAATAAATACATATCTTTGTTCTAATGTTCCTCTTTTCCTTAAAAATTGTTGATACAGACCATTGTATCAATTATAAATGCCGCTTCAGATGCCCAAAAGCTTACTTATAATCTTATATCAATATCAAATTTTACTTAATACATTACAATATTTATCAATATCCATAAATTTCAATTCCATGGTTGCCACATTTTTAATACAAAATAATCTAAATCATCACTACTAATATCAATATCCAATATACTCTAGTGGCACAGAGTTCAAAAACCAAATTCTCTCTATAGAAATAACATCAATAATTGTAAATTAAAAATAGAAACACAATGCAATTATAAATATATCAGGAACATTTTTTTTCATAACAACCATAACAGTATAACTCATATTTAGTTTCTATTCCACTTCCTATCCTTAATTTTTTATTTTGTATCACTACCACTATCCTCATCTCCATCTAATTTGAAAATGAAATTATCATTCAATTTATCATTTGTCAATTTCAATTTGCTAATGTCTATCAAAAATTGGAAACAAAAATGAGCATAAAGAAACTATTTAATAATAATAAAAAAGAGAGAATTGGGAATAGATACCGAGATAGGTAAGTATTGGTGGTTTGGTGTGTATGGTGATTTTATTAGTGACGACAGTATATGATAAAGAGTTAAATGGAAAATAGTGTAGTTTGAGTTATTGGTAGATAATAATAAGAAGTTTTATTATTTGATAAAATTTTTCAACGAGTTGACAATTAATGAAGGGTATTGTTATCTTTTGATCATGTTAAGGGAGGTTTTGGTAATTATATAAACCTTAAGGGAGTCGAGTGAAATTGTCAAAAATCTCAGGGAGATTTCTGAAATTATCCCATACCGAAATTGAAACCCAAGTAGACTCGGAAAGGAATGAATGCCGAAAAACTTGGGACACCAAAAACAGAAGAAAAAGCAAAAGAATTGGCGGAAGAAGCAATGAAAGTGGAACTGAAAACCAAGGAGGAGCTGAAGCCATGGGAGCAGCATTCTGCTGTGATCAGCATTCCTCGTTTTGATTACAACGCCCCTTCTTCTCTCCTCAATCATTCCCACTCCGGCTTCCTCATCACCTGCCCCATCGCCATCAGTAAGGCCTCTCTTCCCATCTCTTCTGTGCAGAAAGTTATGTTCTTTTTTACTCTTCTGTTTTGTTATTTTTGTAATTTATTCGCTTCTTTTATGTAATTTGCATCTGGGTTTTTGAAAATTTTCAATTTGATTGTTTGGGTTAGTTTGGGCAGTGTGGAGATTGATAAAAATGCTTCCTTTGTCTATGTAGAGAGGGAGAATAGTGCAACAAAAGAAGCCATGTCAATTCTTGAAAAAGTAATGAATTCTGCTGGTTTTGTTTCTTCTCAGTTCTCGGGAACAATGTCAAAATAAGGAAATTTTAGACATAAAGAAAATTCATGCTAACTTGAGAATCAGGACAGTTGAATTATTTTACTGAAGTTGGTTTGGTGGGATTCTTAATTTCTTAGCAAGGTTGGGAACTTGGCGCTTTTGTAAGTGAATAAGACTGTAGCGGGCTTGAATTACCGGTATAATGTGTTTGCTGCTGTAATTGTTTTGGTTTAAGATGAATAGTAGCAATGTTATGGAATAGATGTTTGAATGATTAAGCGTAAGTAAACAGCAAATGGGATGGCAACTATTAGATAAAACTCGTGAAGTTTGGAGAACTGGGTGAGCTATGCAGAAGGTAGGTACAGGCATGTTGTATTCTTCAAACGCATTAGGTATTAAGGGAGGGAGGAAAAACAAACAAACTAAAGTTGTTTTCCGTTTTAAATGTGATAAATGTATGGAAATGAAGTGTAATGCTAATGGTCTTCATTTGTGAGAAAAATGGCAAAATAATGCAGTCGACACTGTTTTCATCTGTTGAACTTAGTTTAGGAAAAACGTTTATCATTTTTGGGTTCTAAACTTGATTAAGATTTCAGTTGGCAGACAACCAGAAGGATAAGATGTCAATTATCCTGCCAATAGGTTATTAACATCTGAGTCTAGTAGCTGGCTTTAAATTTTTTTGCTGATGATCTTCCACTTCACGCATTTATTTGTAATTAGTGCATTGTTAGGTCACAGATTAATATGGTTTATTCCTTGTTTACATCTCTTATTCACCTTGCTTTGCTCACACTCTGTCATTTGTCACTTGGTTCAATCAAGTGACTCCGCTTAAGTCTGCTGTGCCTTCTTGAGTAAATGACATGATTTGTCATCCACAATGCAACACTGGTTTAGTTCTTTATCACCCACATCTTTCCAGTGTGTATATATGAATGGGTTACTATTTTCCTTGAATTTGAAGAGGCATATGTATACATAGTCAGCTTAAGCTTGAGTACACTACTTATATAGGTTAAGGACAAATTCACCTTACTAATATAGAAGTTTTGCATTGTTTTCTTTGAAAATAAAACAGAAACAATTTATAGAAGATATGCAATATTTTGTACCGTAAGAAAAAAAATTATAAATATAAAAGCAATTTAATAAGGATATGATTATATTTCTCTGGAGAATGACATGGTCTTAAGAAATCATAATTCTGTTAGGAGAAGACCATGAGTCCAATTTTGTAAGACATTTTAGACATCAGTATTGCATGCATGAATTATTTAGCTGATTGCCAATCATGTAGCATATGGTCTTAAGAAATAGATATGTAAGCATCATTTTTGCTTTTAAAAATAGAAAGGCATTCTTTGTTGCCGTATCTTTGGATAATGGTCCTTTGTCCATACTTAAAGGAACGTATATAAGCGTGAGATGTTGCACTCTTCTAGGACTATAAGGAACCAAATAATAGGAGGACGATTTAGAGTTTGCTTAAAAACTTGTGGCAGACAACTTTTAGGAATTGTTTTTGGATATATTTACACCAGAAGCCAAGCATTGCCGCAGCTTATCACCATGTGAAAGAGATGAATGAGTTTCAGTCATATTTGAAGTCCCCTCCAAAGCCTGTATCATTTTGTGTGTAGCAAAAGGGAGACAAAGCGTGAACCAACTTGGAGAATGGAGAGGTGTGCATCTGTTCCTTGCAAGATTCTATTCTTTTGACTTCATGGAGTTTTTATAAAAGCTGTGTATACTGAATGTTTTCTTAGGGCTTCAAACTGATTTTGATACATTGATACATGTATGCATTCTGTTCTTTTCCTTATGAATGCCACCAGCATTCACAATTGATGCAACCAATAAAGAGTTTAAGGGAATATTAGATTGAAATATTCTTGGGAACTTGGCTGAAGATTGAGTTTACCCACTTCAAAAAATGGGTAACCTTTTTAGGATCTTGAGTCATTTATTAGAAGTTTTAAGTTCTACATATTTCAGTAGACTTAAAATTTATGGTGCTTTAGTAGTTTATAGGTTTTTATGTGTTATGGGTATTGGATAAACTAACAGTGGAGGGCACTTCAGTCATTGTTTGAGACCATGAGGCTTATACATTGACTTTGATGGAAGGGTTCTTAATTGAAATGTTGTGATTCGTTGCCTCAAGTTCGTGCCATAAGATATTCTGGTCCCTGGGGCTGAAGCCTGGTACAAACTGCATGTTCCACCATACCCATAGCCAGACACCCAGGTATTTTAGGCCATCCATGAAGGAGTTAAAGTTATCCATTGGTGAATTTTTATGCATGGCTATTCTATGTAAATGGTTTTCTCATGAAAACTGGTGGAGAACGGGAGTCTGGTCTAGCTCGTGCTGATCTATCGTTGTTCTTTACGTTTTTTTGTTTTTTGTTTTTTTTGCATTAATTTGTACAAAATCTGATTGACTTTTAGCACTTGTGATCTTAGAAGAGTGCATCTTGCAATAGAACTTTTTTCTCTAATCAGGTTCCATCATGATAGCTGTATTAATTTATGAAATATTGGTTAAAGGAGTGACGCTTAGCACAAGAATAATCAGAACTTGGTTGTACAACAGACGGTCTAGGGAGCAATTCTGACATAATTGTTTTACATGATTGTTAGCAGAGAACTTGCAGTTAAATGAATTGTAGTTCTTTAAGACAATAGCCTGTGATTTTTAGATACTCATGCAGCCGAATTTGTGCAGAATCAGCATGAATGATATTTCTTCACCATATATATATATATTTTTTTGGGGTTTAGGTGATCTGATTGGATTCATTGAATTTCATGTGTATGAACCATCTCCATGGGAAAGCCTGCTTGCATCTAGTGAGTGTAAAGTGTAGAAATCAGCTTAGTGTCCTGTCACCTGTAACTGCAGTACATTTTCTTACATGTCTTCTTGTGTATGTAAAACTAAATAAGTTAATTCAAGTCAAGTCATGTTTATGTTCTGTGAGATGTTGACCAGTTATATGGTAAAATATTCTTTGCAGTACTCTAAATGCTGAAGGTTTTGAAAGTTTGGATGCGAATATGTCAGCTAAGAGCAGAATATCTGTAAGTACAGAGGAGGAACTTGGCAACAGTATGGAGAGGAAAGATGCAGACGATGACTTTGGAGAACCTGGTAATAGTTTAACTCTGGTATTTTAGGTTATACACATGCTCCTACAGATAGTGCAAATTACCATGTATAACTACTGAAATTCCTCCCCCCCCCCCCCCCAAAAAAAAAAAAAACTACCTGCAAATCTACAAATTAAATGAAGAGCTGCCCCGGGGGGGGGGGGGGATTTGTCTGCAAGAATAGGTAATATTGCTTATATGCATGAAATAATGAGAAGAAGTTTATTAAAAAAATATGTTACTATAAAAACAGGGAATGAGTAGTTAATTGAAGAAGGGTAAAAAAACATCTTATGATAGCTGCATCCCTCTGACATACTTATTTAGCCTAGTTTGACTTTGTAAAAGCCTCTAATACTGCCCATATGTGAGAATTCTTCCCCCAACCTACCTTTAGCAAAAGTATTCTGCTTACCCAGTTTGCTACAAATAGTTTATGTGAGAGGTATGTATCTGTGAAGGTTTTGGCTTCTTAAAAGAGATGATTTCAAGGCAAGATTTGGTGGATTGCAAGTTACAAAGAATTGCTGGAGAAAACTTGTACAACCCAAAATATTAGCAGCGGACAAAGGATGAAATGGGATTTCCCTTGCAAAAATGAATAGATAGCTGTGTTTCATTGGACAATTAGCTGTTAGAATGAATGAACAGAATGTACTCTAAAAAAGTTGTACAAGTTTTAAGTAATTGTGTTGTTTCAATTGTCTATTCTGTCTTTCAACAGCCCCATATTGATGTATGGTGTGTGAACTGGAGAAGAACAATAAACAATTCTTTTCTTAATGACAAAAGCAATGAAAGAATCAGAAAGATAATTGTAATTTGGTACTTACAAAAAAACATGTAGATATTATGGTGTCTTAACTTCCCCGTTAAGGTAGACAGTGAAGCAGAATATCTTAGATCACACACTACATTCAGCTAGCTAGGGCTTGATTATCAAAATTACAGAAATCATGTTTAAAAAATAAGTTTCAAAATGCACTAAGATAGAGGACATATTGCTCATTAATTAACTTGGATATCAAACAAAATATGATTGTGCTTCCTCTATTCAGAGAGGATTAAAACATAAAACCCAAAAATAAGGAACTTAAACAATTTTGGTCTGTAGTCGGTTTGGCAGAGAACTTGAGTCAGTTTGGCATGTAGTCAACTTATCACAGGCTGGTGGTGGTGGTAAACTCCGTGCTTGGAAACTCAAGAAGCAAATGATGGCTTTAAGCTTAAGGGTAACTTTTGGTTCCTGTAGATCCCCAATTTATGGCTTGGGAGGATTCTATTTTCACCTTACTGAAGATGGTCCTAATTATGTCATGAAGCCTGACGATGAAGAGGATCACGCAGTTTACTTCAACAATGCCCCTCCAAGCCTGAGAATGGGTGGCTCAAAGTTCCTCCCATGCTTGCATGCAGATTTTTGCCCACTCACCAAGCAATCAGTGGTAGCAAAATCTATGTCCTTATGGAATGAGGTAGACGATCAATGGGCATCCTCTGAGCTGTAATTTTCCATTTGGTGAACCTCCTGTTGAAGGATCTCTCTCTTTCCCTCCATTGGAACAAGAATTTGCCCCTCAGCGCCACATCCTGTTTCCTATCGGTGCTGGGGATCAAGTTGTTATTGTGTGTTTTGATGCGGAAATTGACAAAAGTGTTCAAGGTTTGTCGAGGATCGCGATTGGTTCATTATTATCCCTCGTGTGTGGAAGGGAATTACTTGTTCACAACTTTCGGCATCAGTGTTTTTGCCTATCATATATTTGACAGGAGTTTATTTGAATGACCTGCTCCGTTCTGTAGTAAAGTCAAAGGGATTGCCTGACCAGAAGTGGATGGCAAGAATAAGCATATGAGGATGTGTATCTATATACGGTGAGATTTTTTTTTCCCTTTAATTCTATTCTGTAATAGTACATATGTTTGGCAAATTGGTGAACTCAAATGTTTTTTGCCACTGCACTTTTAATACCCCGTTGTTGTATGAATCTCCTTGTTGACTTTTACTGCGGTTATTTTCACTCCATTTCCAGAAAATCCACTCCACTTAAATATTTAAAATAGAAGTTTTACTGAGCCTGATTTTGAATTCTAAATGAATCTGATTTTAAGGAAGCCCATTGAGATCATTTGCCAACATCCAAAGCATACTTCAAGAATATGAGAAATTAATTATATGTTTATCTTCACTTTGCCTATCCAAATCCAGTACTTTGTGCATTAGCTCAATAGGCATATCATAGAACCCAAAGGCATCAGTTTACATGGCCTGTGGTATCTGAATCGCATTGATTGAAACAGGTTCCATGCTGTGTTCATCGCAACACTGTCAAGTTTGAGTGTGAACCTCCAACTTTCTGCTGTGATATATAATGCCAAGTTTTAGCTTAGCTCTTCTTGAAAATCACAAAGAGTTGCTTAGAGTTATTCACTTCCAAAATCGAGGATTCAAATTCAATTTAGGAAAACATCCCGGCATTTAATGACGTGTTCTCAATCACATTAGAGTTTACACATTTCAGGTTCAAGAACACAAGCACCATAACAAGTGTGGTTGGTTGTTTTGCAGAAGCGATAGAACAAAGTATATACAGCTGAAAAAAATAAATAAATAAAAGGAAACAACAAGCTGCAGCAAACAACAAAACATATCAAACGCTAGAAAGAACAAAATCCTTGCAAGAATTATGTGGAAATACCAAAATACATGAAAAAGAATGATCATATAGTCAAAATCCTCGAAGCCAATTAAAAATTAGAAGCCAGGAGGGCACCTTAATCAATCAAACCATAGTTTAATTTAGAATTCCATTTTATGTTGTTTCAATTAATTGGCTCTAAATATTATAGCTATGAGGCTAAATAAAACCACCGGCAGAGGAGAAAGTTGGCGTCAGAAAGACAATCAAATTCTTGTAATCCTCAAGTCTAAGAATTTAGCATGATAATCAGCACATCATACTACGTCTAAATTGCCGACAGAAAATGGAAGTGTAATATTTTATCTTTATAAATGTCTTTGAGTGGAACTTCTTTAGGTTACAGGACAAATCATCGCAAATGTGATCTTCTACATATAACCCTTTGTTTTCACCATTTTTTTCCCTTCTTCTTGTGTTTCGTTTTTTGTTTTCCATATTTCTCTTTTCAAGTCAATGGTCTTATTTTTTTTATTATGTTTCTTGATTGCAACTTTTTGTGTGCTAGAGGAAACCTATGCATGAGTACAGGTCAAAGAAAGTTCAAGGATGCAAGTAACGTATTATAATTTCCTTTTGAGTAAGGTGACTGTAATTTGACTTCAATAGAAAGGAAATCAGTTGCGAATGAGTTTGGATAGTGTTTTGTGATATCAAACCACTATCAGTTAAATTTTATTTGAGAAAAATATACATACAAACTAAGGATATAGAAAGAAAAAAAAAAAGGAACACTGAACCTTCAGTTTGGACTTTGGACTTTGAAAGGTGTTATCGAAGCTTTACTAATTTGACAAACTTCATCTTTTATGCTTCATACACTTTGATCTTGTTTTTTCTTCGGTAGATGCTCTGTTCTATGTCTTGCTGAACCAGAAAAATTTTGATGGAGTTAACTGGAAAATGAAAATCTAAATCCATACTTGTACATACGCATATTTTGAGGAATTGAGGTTGATTGTTACTATTTCAATATGAACTTAAGTCAATTGTAACATCTGGTGGCTACAGTCGTGAAACTCTGCTCTTTAGATTTTGAAACAATGATTTCACGCAGAAAATCGTGGAGACCACATGTAGCCAATGTGCCATCGGTCGATCTGGATTTAACTTGGATTAAGCTTCTGTTGATGAGTTCTTTCATATATCTCATAGCAATATCGGTGGATGTTATCCCTTCTTTCTGTTCTACAAATCCTAGTGCAATCCATTTCAGAAGTATATCATCCACGCCAATTGGATAATCTTCAGGGTAGATGCTTAGATACAATAGGCAGCTTTTAAGATAGTGAGGCAAATCATTGTAGCTAAGTAAGAGTACCCTTTTGATCCTGTCAAGCTTACCACTGCCATCTGCCTCGCCACCAAAACCATGAAGAATCATCTCCCATTCATCTGTCTTTTCCTTGTCCTTCAGAGCCATAACACCACCTATTGCAACAATTGCAAGCGGTAGGCCCTCACATTTTTTCAGTACTTTTTTAACAACTTCTTCTACATTTGGAGGACAGTCATTGCTCTGAAATGTTCTATTGCAAAACAGAGTCCAAGACTCTTTATCAGAAAGAGGCTCCATCTTATAGACGAAGTCAAGTGATCCTAAACAGGACGCAGAAGCTACATCAGCCATTCGTGTTGTCAATACAGCATGACTAGCGGTATTGCAGTCAGGCAATACACATTTGATAGCTTCCCAGGCATCTATACTCCACACATCATCAAGGACAAGAATGTACCTTTTTTCCTGGAGGAAGTCTCTGACAAATTCAATCAGCATATTATCATCCATGGATTCCACTCGGCGAGGGACCGGCCGTCTGATTTCGTTGTACAACTGTTGGATCAGGTTCTTGATGATGTCCCTGAACTGAAAATTTTGAGAAACAGTTATCCAGGCGTGGCTCTGAAATTGTTTCTTCACTGCAGCGTCATCATAGACTTTTTTCACCAGGGTAGTCTTCCCGAGTCCCCCCATTCCCACAACCGAAACTACTTTCAATTGGGAATGGTCATCAACGATTTTTGAGATGAGCTCTGCTTTTGGCTTATCAATCCCAACAAGTCGAGCTTCTTCAATGAAGAGTGATTGAGCACGAATGTCAAAATCTGCATTCACCTGACGAGAAGAGCTGAAGCCTCTTTCTTGAGTACCATATAGGGACTGGTACCTCTGATGCCTTGCTGAAATCTCTCCAACTCTGGCCTTGATGTCTTTTATCTCCAAAGAAATTTGATGGCGAGCTTTCAGATTCTTTATTGAGTTATAGATCTTTCCAACCTTGCCATAGAATCCATCCATGTAACCACGAGCAAAGCGGAAGGTAAAATCATCGAGAACATCCTGTGTATCATAAGCAACTTCTCGAACCTGCTTTAGCCATTCTTGGAGTTGAGAATCATTAATATTGTCGTCCTTTGCTTCAGCTTCTCTGAGGAAAGCCTTCATGCTCCCGAGTTCATCTTTGATGAATTGAACATCTGATTTAAGCCCCCCCAAAAGTGTGATCTCTTGGTAAAGCAAAGTTGAGATCTGGTTAATCAAAAAACGTACAGCACTCTCTGCCATGATGCTCAATCAAATTTCTCAAGAGTCGGCAGGCCAAGACTTCACAGTGGCAAATGATCAATGGAAAAAGGAAGGTACCTTATTGCTGCTTTTTGTGATGCTGTCTCTTCCAATAATGCTTTCCAGAGTGCAAAGGACAATTAAGTGGCTTTCCCTATATACAATTAAGGTCAAAATGGTCCATAGTCAAAAGTTTCTCATTAATTTTTTGCAAGTGGCTTTCCCTATATACAATTGCACGATTCAGTCATTGGATGCCTGCGGTCCCATATTCTATTCAATAAACTGTTTTTTTTTTTTATTCTGAGTGTCACCTACAATTGTCAGTGTTCTTGGCCAAAGTCGTTCTATTATAATTGCTTCAGGTTCCAAAAACTAGAGTCATGTTTTATAATAAAAATTGTAAGTGGCAAATGTAAACCAATGGAATGGTTGCATTATTTCACACACGCGTTTGTTTCTGATAGTTACAGCCCTTATCAACATCACACTGAAGTTGGCTTTGAAAGGAAAAAACAAAAAAGTCACATTCAACTTTCGATTCTTGGTTCCACAATATCTTGTGAGGTCAGAAATTAGCTGGACATCACATGGTTGCCCAAAAATGTTTGTGAAATTTTTTTTTTAAAAAAATGTTGGCATTGAAAAGGGGCAATATATCACTGGAAAAGTTATTAAAATTAAATGTGCCCATATTTCTTTCAATGACTGAAAATTGAGATATACATAGAAGTGGTAGATAACAACCGGAAGAGGCTCATGCTACGAGTGCAGTGAATCATTATTAGTTTTAGTGTCAAAGAGGGGCAAATTACGCTTTATTCCCCTGTGGTTTAGTATTTTTTTTACGTAACCCCCCTATGATTTCAAAATCTATACATAACCCCTCATAATTTGGATTAAAGTGTCAAAATGACGAAATTTACAATCCGTAACGGAGTTAACTAAACTATCAAAAATACCCCTATATAAAGTTGAAAATTTTTTATTAACCACAGGGAGTTATGTATATATATATATATTAAAAATGATAAGGGGGTTATATGGTAAAGCACTAAACCATAAGGGGATTATATAGTAAAATATAAAATCATACGAGATTAGAGTGTCATGCATATTATGTTTATATATTTTGGTCACTCCATCTATTTTAGTTTTTAAACAAAAGTAATTTCGACATTTTTATAGGTTCTGTTACAGATGATCATTTCCGTCACTTTGACACTTTAATCCAAATTATGAAGGATTATATATAACTTTTAAAACTATATGAGGGTTATGTAAAAATTAGCTATACCACAGGGAGGTAAAGTGTAACTTGCCCGTCAAAGATCAATAATTCTCTACTAATGGTTGCTCTCAGAGCTTATGTATATGTTTGCTATGGCCGAGTTGATTCATATGCTCATTTGACAATTAACTTCTACTTAGTCCACGCTATAACTTCAAGCTGGCTACTGTTTCAACTACTATTTTGGCATCTCTTTCCTATTTGTAACACCTTAGTGGTTAATATGTCGGATGATTCATAGAGTTTATGAAACTGGCCACAACCAGTAAAATCCAAAACTCTGGAACCGATTTACTATTTTTCTTTTTTTGTTTTACAATTAAATGTTTGAACTGGGGTTGAACAGTATACTAAAAACTTATCATTTGCTTCACGAGGAATTTTATGTATGTTCGAAACAACTATTAGACATGATCCAGGAACAATAGAAAAGTTTCAAGTGGATATATGAGGATCTTACTTACTAATTTACATGTTAAGTGAAATCCACTTGACATGTTATATAAAATCAGGTGGAACCCTTGTATTTCATTGGTTTGAAAACAATTATTAGGCATGATCGATATAAAATTTTCCTCCATTTCACTTAGCAGTTCAAAATTTTTTTTTTTAAAAAAAATAGATTAATTCACGTTGCTCTTCCCCCATTACCGCTATCTTCTGTCTTTCAATTCCTCTTCAATCGATACATGAATATACCATCGGAAATAGTGACTGAACCCTTCCATCCTTACTTTGCACTCCCTTGCGCTAGCCATGTTTTGATCCATAGACCATGTCACTATAATCACAAAATATGTGGATGTATGACAAGCTTCTCAATGTTCAAATGTCCTACATTCACATTTTATTATTGGAATGGTACTCCCAATTCTATGAAGATAATACACTATTATTCATAAATTTTAATAAATGTTAGTTTTTGAAAAAAGAAAAACAGAAAAGAGGAGATTCTCAAAAGTATCTGACATCGTAGTTGACTCAAGTCTCGCCATATTCGTTCTGTTCATCCGCTAATACCAAACATACCTTTGTTTTTTCATTTTCAAATTTCAGCTACTAGAAATAATTTTATAAAGCAAGGGGCAAATATTAATTAAAGGAAAAGTCATGCACGAACCAATGGCTCTCTGTGTACAAGCTTATTGCTCGAATAAATAGGTAGGATGTTAATGCTTATACGACAAATTGTGAATGTTAACAAGAGTGACAGTTGTTTGAATATTATAGAACTCAAATAATTGACAAATGTACACATCTTTAGCCTTATATAGAACTTTCAATTATTTATTATATATACACACACACACAGAGACATGTACGTATATACAAAGTGGCTAAGGAACTTTTCCAGTGACTTTCGTCGTCCTCCATTTGGTTATGGTTTGCACGTGAGTCTTGGTTTTGCTGTTTTGGTTGAGTGAAGAAAGCTAGAAGTGTGAGGCTTGTTTGCATATTTTTTTGAATTAATCTTTTCTATACTGACAATGTATATACTATCAGTTTTGGACAAATAATAGCTATACAAAATTTAAATTTGAAATTCAACTTTTATACATGTATCATAAATTTAATAGTGATAATGCATATAACGTCCGTGTATATAGGATTTAGTCTTTTTTATTGGCAGTGGTAATTATATCATGTCCTGTTGGAGATTAAAGTATCGCACTTTTAGTGGTTGCGGGTTTATTTTGTTTGTGTGTGATTCATTTTGTGTAGAGAATCCTATGATCTAAAAAAGCAAGCCAAGTAGGTTGAAAACTCAGGTTCTTCAGTTGTAGCACGGATTAGAAAGTAAAAAGAAAGCGGCAAAGTTATATTACTAAGACACAATTAGGTCACATTGAAACAGGTGTTTGGACGCCTGGTTCTGAACTACTTGCCACTCATAGTCACGGTGGTAATATAGTAGGCGTTGACAAACTTCAACTCCATAATCAGAATCTACATAGAACACTGTCTCATAATGTAGCTTCTACATTAGATAGCCTGTGCTTTCGATTTGCTTCAACATCTAAGGATAATGCAGAATCTCAGCATAAGAGTTCTTCTTCTCTTGCACCAGTGGAAGGTATAACTATTGTTTGGTTTCCTCTTTTGATTCCATCTAAATAGCATAAAAAGCTATTTGATTCTTTCTATAGAAATTCTTTCTGTTAATGCAGTTGAGCTTCCACTGCTCTCCCATTTAGTCTGCCTACGATCCATGACGAGAATTCTTATATACAGCTTGGGCATGTCCTAACCTATGAACAATGTGATTTTTGAAGCTAGACCCTCAAGTGAAGATATATAGTTAATTTTTAATGATATATATTCCAACCCCGTAGAGGATTCATTGGGAATTAACTTCTCACAGCTTCCAGGCGTGTCTTTCTAATTTATTGTTCTACAGAAATTTTTTATCAGACATGTCAATGAGTGGGATATTATTCAGATCCAATCCAGATCCACCATATTTATTTGGGGTTTGGATTTACGTTTTTAAATTCATACCCTACTCAGAGCAATACCCTATAAAAGAATTATGCATTTGAGTAGGGTCTGATTTTATATGATTCATACTTAAACCCAAATCCAAACTTAAATCCTATCTATCTATAACATAGCCTGATGCAATATAAAACTTTTGAATACATCAGGCTATGTTATAGACAGATTGTTTTCCAGGATTTTTGAGTTTAGAAACTTGTTCTTTTGGTGATAAGAGATTTTCTAGGATAAGTTCACAAATTTCATATTGAATCAGACTATGTTATTAACTGATTGTTTTTCCAAGATTTTTGAGCTTGGAGACTCGTTCTTTCTGTGAGTACTCGAGCTTGATAAGGATCGATTTGGCTTGATAAGTACTCCAGCCTTATCGAATCAAGTTCGAGCTTAAACAATTTCCTCACAAGTCGAGCTCAAGCCATATATTAGTTGCTCAAACGAGTTTGAACTCGAGTTCAAGTACCAGTATCACCTATCGAGTTCGAGATTCAGTCGAGTTTGAGTATGGCACTACTCAACCTCGACTCGGCTCGTTTTCATCGCTTATACCAACTAGACTTATTTTATTGTTCATTTAAGTCCGAACACATTTTACTTACAGCACTAAGAGCATAGTTGATAAAATACAGGACAGATATAATACGAGATGCTATCTGCATACATATTAGACTAGTTTTTTTTTTATCAAAAGTATGATTAAAATTCAGCATAAAAATACGTGTTCGGGAAAATTACTCATATAAAATCGTACATAAATAGTATGAACATATTTGAAAGTTACAAAACTAAAAATATGGATAGATTTACTATAGTTTTCAAAGAATATGCTGCTCTCTTATACCAATCTTAAAATTATTTTCATGTATGAGATGTTACATTTATTAATTTTGTTACCATATTGCTTAAATATGTATAATCTACAGTTATTATGTTATATGTGACTCTTATTTGTATATAACTCATAAACATGTCATTATCATTACTCAAATTTTAAAATTTTTTAAATTGAAGTATAATTTGCGAAGATGATACATTATAAAAGTTTATTACGTGTTTTGTATGGTTAATTGAAAAGTATAAGTATTTTTCAAAATATTTTTGAAATGCAGGAAATATTAATGTTTTTTGGAATGATACGTAAGAACGTATATTCTATGAGTATAATATTAGTATATACGAACTAGGATAAGAGAAAACAATAGGAACCAACTAATACTTCAAATAATTTACCCATTTTACATCCCAACTTTCTTGAAGCATTCTCCACTGGAAGAATCAATTCAGACAAATACCTTACCCCTATTTTTTTTCTATTTTTTCCACTAGTTGCTCAAATGAATTGTTTTGGATATAACTAAAATGGTTAATAATTGTAGAATACAATGAGATATCTGCACCACTTGTAAAACCTAC